AGGAGTTAATAGGAACTGCAGCCTCAGTCAAAACTCAGTTTTTATCACCATGGTCTGAGAGTCAAGACTTTCTCCAAAAACCCTCTGCTCCTCTTGCTCTGCACACACATTTACTCAGGCATATCACAGCAGGGCAGCGCGGATTGTACACCTGATGAGATAGGGAGCACCAGTTACACTGACCGACTGGATAATGCAAAGCCTGCACGGCCGCTAAACAAACACCATCAGCTGCTGTTTGGTCTCTGAGCTCCTTCATGAACTCCATTGATGGAAGGCAAACATAAAGCAGACACACTCCCCCAAGTCGGCCTCGCACTGCACCTTGCTGCACAGCATTGCACAGCTGAGGAGGCGTACGCCAAGACGAGTTAAGCCTTTGACATGTACGTGTGAGTCAGGACCTTACTGGTGGAGAGTGTGCTCATGCATAAGCATGTGCTTGAACCTAATGGTTAGCCTCCATTTTTTGTTTCCTCTCACATGCGCAAGCAAACAAAGAAATGGACACACGTTCACACGTCTCAAAATCTAGATGAACGCAGCAGTCGCCAAAAAAAAAAGAATCCAGCTCAGACTCCAGTCCACGTGCAGACAAACAGACACAAACGCAGAGTATCCTCATTAAAATTCTCTGGTGCGTTCAGCAGCAGTGTGGACTAGGGGCTGTGCGAGTCCCTCCGTAGATAACATAGAGAAAGCAGCCTATTGTCTTATTCTAATCCTTCTTTTGAAGGAATGTAGTGAGAAATATCAGAGAAGAGGAAAGATGTGTGTGGAGGCTTCAGTAAAATGATATCTACAGCACAGCAAGTTGTTTCTCACAATATATGCACCACCTGATTGTCATAATTTCACAGCCACTGACAATCCGGCTCTGGCAGACGAGACGGACAACATTAATATTGCCTGTCCAACATTAGCATATGGACGAACAGCTTTTTCTTTCATGTTCACTCTGTTGAACATATTTTTCTTTTTTTCTCTCCGCACTGTATCTTTGTACACCTGTCGAAACAATTTTTAAAGTGGGTTTTTAAGTGGGACCTTTATCACAACCTGCACAGTAAATGCTGACCTGGACTGAGTAGGTTTAAAGCATAGCAATTCATTCTCCATTTTCACCCTCAGCTGAAACCATTTGCTTCATTGCTTCATTGCTAAAAAGTGGAGAGCTACTATTAAGTTATTTCCTGTGTTGATTAACACAGCAATTAGTTGCAAAATGGAACGATTTGAATGAATTGAAAGAGGTTACCACAGTCTGAGGTGGATGATGTTTCCTGAGCTTCAAATTGTCTTTTTGTCTAAATAAAGTCTAAATATGTCAAAGACTTGTCACATTTATTTAGTTTAAAATGGTAAATGTTTGGCACTTGTGTTAACTGCAGGTCTCCTGTTAGAAAATTAATCACAACAGCACTAATTAACCCAATCAGAACACTGTGTTAATCCATTAGAAATGTATTGTAAATCAATATGCAAACCTCCTTATTAACAAACTATTTTATATTTCACTTGGATGGACATTTTGTTTAGACTCTTTCAGAAATATGGTGGCGACAATTGTCAATGAACTCTGCACACCTGCAAAAAAATAAAGCAGCCCCTACAGATCTCTTACACCCCCCTCCATCAGTCATTCAATGAAACATTAGATGCTGCAGCAAAATTAATGCAGCTGAAATTAAATGAAAACTCTGAAAAAGGCTCCCGGTAGGAAAGAGAAGTGAGCGTTTTAAGCTTAAAATCGATCAGTGCAGGAGTTGGGCAAGGTTCTTTATTAACTTTGCAGAGGACTTTCCCCACAGACCGAACTGCGAACAAACACAACTGAGGTGTCAGCAGGTATAAAATGTGCTTAGATGGACTTCTGAGCTTTGTAAATATGTTAGCTCTGAGCTGGCTCTACAGCTAATATTAGCTCCTCTGGCCTGCAGAGGTCAGTTATATTCATTAATTACCCTTCCTGTCTCCGTCTGCTGCTCACAGACAACTCTGGGAACAGAAAACTTTTACCTGTCTACCTCTTCTTTCAGTCGCTCTTATTCATTTATTTAACATCAATGAAAGTGAGTCAAGCAGACAGAGGCTGCATCGATGATTCCTTTTTTCTCCAGAAAACACACTTTGATGTAATAAAGTTGCATGTATGAATAAGATCTCTTGTGCTTATTTTCTAAATTGTAAACAAGACAGTTAATATCAGGGAGCAGAAGCAAATAAATGGTCTCAAAAGAAAAGCAGAGGGAGTAATAGTGGAACGATCATTCAGATTTTAAGCCTCTTAATGTAAAACATGCTGGAGCCCTTTGTGTGCAGCATATCTTTCTTTTGCAGTGATGGTGCAGCCCATTACTGGTGTGTGCGTTATTTCTTAGATGTAAACAGAGCGCTTTGAGAGAGCACACGCGGCAGATATATCCGAGAGAGACAGCAGACATAATTCAAGGTGTTGTTGTTGGGAGGTCCAGCTCCAAAACACCAGTTTTTGCTAATTAAAAAATCGTAGCTGCAGACAACTAAAAATAGCGCCTACTGCAGAGGTCCATCAATTAAATTCACCCACAGGGGACAGCTATTACATTGCTCAGGAGGAATGATGTGCTTTTGCTGGATGTGCAACATAACACAGTGCCAGCTAATGAAGAACACACATACAGTGTTGCAAGGCCAGATGCAAGGACGTCATCCAGATAACAATTCGATGTGCTACGGTGCAAAAAAGAAAACCTGGTGAACATTAATCTTGATTTTATACAAGTATTTGAAGGTTCTCCCTTTATTATGCTTCCAATATTCTTCTTTAGTTCATGTTCAGATTTAAATTTTAATTGTATCACTAAACAGAATAATATTACTTTATTACTAGTACTTTATGACTTATTATTTAATTTGTTGCATAAGCAATACATCGACACATATATTGAATCTTTGTTACATTGCTATTGACAAAAAATATTTTACAATTATCATTGATATTGTGCATTGAAATGTGTTTACTTTTATGTTTGTGCACAATACACTGTTACTGATGCTGATATCTGCGAGTCTAAATCTCATAAAGGCTCATAAATATAAGTAACATGAGTCGATCACGACAAGAGCACATTCTGATAGCAGCATGTTCACGACATGTTCACAATAACAGAAAATTCATGACTACAGTGTGTCCAGGATAACGGCAACGACACCTGATTCTCCAGTTCGGGGTTGAGCTTCATTGGATTTTAAATAATCAGGTGAACAGCTCTTTGTGCTTCAGGGTTCTGTGGACTGAGTGCAGCAGCAGGTCTGTACCTCCTGCAGCTTTATTACTGCAGGTCACTTATACAATTCAGAGGGAAAGCTGCAACAGGCATCACCACAGGCCAAGCAAACATGCATGTTTAGAATGAGCACTGCGCTTTAACCACCATGAAAACCGACCTCAAAATACCAGATGATGAAGTTCACTGAGGAAACACACACTCTGACTGTCCTCAGGTTCTGTCTCCAGATTGTTATCTGGCTTCATTTCCACGTCTGCTCCTTCAGCTCTTTAGTGTAGCCGAGGCAAAATGGTGCACAGAGGAAACAAGGCTCTGACTGTCAGTTGTTGAGAAGCATTCAGCCCCTGCTCTGCTGCTCCACTATAAGGCCCTCTTCAAGATTTCTACACGTTTCAATTCAACAACCTCTCTATGTCAGTCCAAATAGGTCCAACAGGTACAAGGGTAGGTGGGTGTATCTGTGTGTGTGTGTGTGTGGGTGGGTGGGGGGGGGGGACTGGAGATATAAAGTAATTAATAAAAGCTGCTCTCAATACATCTGATGATGATTTTACAATCACTGCTCCCAGTAGTGTACATCTGCATACAATTTTTATAAATACCCATATTTATTATCACTAGTAAATACACTGCCACACTGTCTTCTTGTAAATTCATTGCACACTGAATATGTTCATATGCATATAGCAGTGTATTCTTTCTATTCTATTTTCTTACCTTTAAATTATCTTGCTTATTTTTCACTATTGTTATTGTTTTTATAAAACACAACTGTCCTGTTGCTGCTGTGACAAAGAAATGTCCCCGTTTGTGGGACAATAAAGGTATTCTGATTCTGATGATACACCTACATATAAACTAATGTGACTGTGCCAGCTTGTCGAGGTGAAATAGGACAATCAATTTCAAATCGATAAAAACAATGACAATAAATCACCATCTTCTTTAACAGCTGCTAATGAATCTTCCTGGGCCGTTGCGTGGATACTGTAAAAATAGAGGTTGTGCTAACAGTCGATGGCTGTGTCAGGGTAATAAAAGTGTTTTAGCTTAATTAACATTCTCTGGAGAGCGTAGGGGTCTCTTTAGGTGCACTGACTCCAAACAGCTACATTTTCATTTCCAGCAGAGACACACAGTGTTGTTATATTAGGCTGCAAGCATTCATGTTGTTACACAGTGATCAGCACTAATCGTCTGTGTCAGTTTGATTCCTTGCACAAAAGATTACGATTTAAAATATTTTGGGGAATTCAACTAATCATTTTGCTGGACTTTCATTTGCATAATCTATTTTTGCGGGTATGATTATATAGAAAGTAAAATATATTGGTTATCATTTAAAAAGAATGTCTGAGTGTGCTGCCAGCCCCACCATATATGTTGTTCTGCATTGCAACAAGCCAGACTTTGATGCATAATCAGACCTGTGAATAGAACATTTGAAGGGTCACAGCTGGCTGCTATCTGTGTGAGCAAAGAATCGAGCAGACGACAATGTGACTCTGATCGTACTCTTGTCAAATTCAAATCCCACATAGAAAGTCATGGAGCAAACCGGATATAACATTATTACTGTGAGCCAACAGTGCTTAATAATGTTTAGTCAATGCTCAATAAAATCTTATTCAACTTATTTGGCTTGTAATAACAAAAATACCACTGACAGCTATTGGAATTATTATGATTTCAGTACAACATCTCTTAGACATGTGACTTCAGACTTACAGTAGACATCCACCCTGATGGACTTGATGGCGGGCGAGCCGAGACCGTTCTCTGCCTTGCAGTAGTAGCGACCTCCCTGGGTCCTCAGGATCTTTGCAATGTGCAACGTTTCATTGAACACACTGGAGTCCTGGAAGCGGTCCGACACACTGCCGGCTGTCTTGGTCCATCGGATCTGGATAGAACAAAAGGAAAGAAAAGATAAATTCCTTCCTCGTCTAATTTGACTTGTTCACCTTCTGTTCCAGTATACAGCCAATGAACTGAGGCCTCAAACACAGCTTCATTTGCAAAGAACAGGGCTTAAAGGAAGGGGAGTAGTGCAGCAACATCCATTATTGAGCTGACACTTTAGAAATAAAAACATGAAATGACTTGGCTTGCTATGTTTTTTTAAATTGAGTCAACAAATAAAATGTAATGGCTTTGTAAACTTATGGACAATAAATGGTAAACGGACTGTATTTATATGGCACATTGCCAGTGTTATCTATACTCAAAGTTCTTTAGAGTACAAGCTGCATTCACCCATTAACACACACATTAACAGAGCCTCACATGCTCGTCACACACTCTCAGCTGTCAGGGTCAAGTTGGAGGTCAGCATCTTGCCAAGGACACCTCAGCATTCAGACTGGGGGAGTCAAGTATGGAAATACTAATTCTTTCATTCTGGTTCTGATAAGTGGACGATCCAAAAATATTTCTTCACCTAACTCAATTAATATTAAAGTTGCAAAGTTGTTGTCAATACTTTGTTTATGGTGGTTTTGACCAGAGTGGAGGCCAGGTAACTTTAAAACAGGGTCTACTAATCATTTCTGCAGGGGCTTATCTCCACACATATCATCTTACAGGGAAACTTGACGTCCCTAATGAGTGTTTTGGTTGAAACGAGTATAGAAATTCTGTCTCTGCGACGTCCACTAGCCAAAAGGTCAGTGGTTCCCTGGTTCCTCCAGTCTGCATAGCAGAGTGTCCTTGGGCAGGACACTGAACCCTAAATAATTCCCGACGGCTGGAGTGTGTGAATGATGTGTGATAGAAAAAGGGCTGTGTGTAAAAGTGCCGTTTGAATGTCTGTGTGAGTCAATTTCACTTGCACTATAAAGCACTTTGAGCGATCAATAAGACTAGAAAGCATGATATAAAGGAAGTCCATTTACAGTGTACGATCTAAAATTTTATTTGGCAAATATAACTGTTAATGTTGTGTGACAAATTTCACGTCTGGAATATAGCCGACTGGAAAAGTCTCCCTGACCCTGATGTGCAGTGACACTAGAATTCTGAGTAGTAACTACTCAAAATATGGAATCTTAATAATTAAGAAAGATAAATAATCAGAACAAAAGATAATTATTAGGCAAAATAAGCTTTTTTTTTCAAAACTGACATTGAGTTGGCCTCAAAATGAAAGAATCTAGTGCCTTGAAATTTTGAGTTTTTCTAACCTTTTCATTTTTGCATTGTTCCGCCCCACAGTGTAAACAATGGTTTAATAAAGCAGGTCTACTTTATGTTTTACTCATGTGAAAAGCATTGGCTAAAGTTCTTCCGGTAACTTCCATCTTTCCTTTGTTCCACACAAGAGTGACCTCGGTGGCTCTCTCAGCATGAGTAGCTTTCACTAACTGATGAGACCTAGTTAGCCCATGGCACTGAGGTGTAATGAAAGGTGAAATAGTGTTACTCTCCAACACCAGGTTGTAATTGACTCTCTATCATCTCTCTCTCCTGTCCTCATTAAAGCATACAGTATGAACAGGTCTGCGACGACTCTGGCCTGGGGGCCACACAGCCACAACCATGGAGTATAAAGCTCCATTCAATCCCTCATCCTAAGTAAGCCGCAGATGGACTGGCTTTGCCTGCAGAGCCTCACATATCTCTGTCTAGGCAGGGGTGGCTATGAATTAGAATCCAATATCTTCACACTGTATGGTGATAGCATCATCTTGGATCCTGATAACATCCCATTTTACAGAGATAGCATCAGATGGAGCAGGGATATCATCGCATGCAGGGATGGGGATTGGGTGCTATCTTGGGAGATTGCAGCTGTGCCGCTCGAACTGTGGGGTTTTAACCATGACAACTCCGGCCTGAGGTCACGACAGCTTGAATTTGGTCTTTTTCCCAACAGACAGCTTTACCTGCAGAGCCTCACAAAGGAAATGAAAGGGTGGGCGACAAAAAACTGATAATGGTGACCCATTCCAGAGGCTCTCTGTGCACCTTGGGGATAGAGGATGACAAGGAGCAGTGAAAAGTTGAAGTTTATCCGAGTTTCAGAATCTCTGTCTTGATTTTAAAGTAGAAGAAATAAATGAGCTTACTCTGAAACTTACAGACTGTGTTCACCCTTTAATCGACCTATGTCTCTGAAAATGTCTGTAGCTAGTCTATCCCTCTGTCTCATTCCTTTATACAAGCTGGATATATGGATATATCCCCCAAACAAGTGCCTCTACTTAAATACCATCCAGAAAAAGCTTCACATGACTTGTTTCAACTGCATACATCTAGAGGAAAAGCCACTGATCAATGCTAAAGCTCCACAGTTAGAAAATCTTGGGCCCCATTATATCAGTTAGAGACATCAAGGGTTATCCCTAAAGTGAAATAAGTTGTTAGCATAAATTAGATGAGGCAAAGTTTTTGAATAATGTGTCATTCTCCTACAGTTTTCTGGATCCTCTCATGCAAATACAAAGCACGCTGGCTTATGACGACCTCAGCAGAATTCAATATTCTCCCAGCTTATACCCCCAGTTATTTCCCTTTGCCTTTTGTGTAAAGAGCTTTGAGTTTTAGGAGCGCACTGTATCAATAAATGCATTGTCGGAGTGACACTAAGAAGTGGGTATTCAAATAACTCCTCACACCATCAAAAGGGAAGTGCTTCTGTTTGTTTCACAGGGGCAGCAGACCACATTATTGGTGAGCTTTCAACTCTCCCTGTAGCCTGGAGCTATTTTCATTCCATCACTCCTCTGACTTTTTTACATCTCAGCACCACTACCCGCGGGGGGAGTCCTGAAGTATGCCTGGTGAGAACAGTTTGACCCTCTTCACTCTGCTTAGTGCAATGCAAATACTCTTGATCTGAGAGGGGCTGGCGAATTTGAGCAATATGATAATTGCTCGTCCTTGCCCACTGCCAGCCTGGCTGAGTTTTTTTGGCCATTTGCTGCAGCTTCTTTCTCAATCCTCAGCTGAAACTCATAAGGTGCACACAACTACACACAAGGGGATAATTTAAACAGCCCGAGATGTACAACCCAGCTGCTGTTTTCCAGCAGAAATGTATTATTCCTGCCCATGCCTTGAAATTGCAGGCATATATTATTAACATGAAATGTAAATGTAGTCTAGTTTTCATGTTTCACCACACACTGAAAAAAAGAGTGGTGCATCCACGTTTAGTTTGTTCTATTTAAAAAAAAAGAATCAAAAACATGACATCACTTAGTTCCACAGGGAATGGCAGAGTCAACACAATAATAACGCCATTTCTCCTTAAACCAGACACCCCAACAGAAAGATCAACATTTGCTTACGAAGAACACAGAAGCTCGTCTAGCTTAGTATCCAACTGCAAATCCGAACAATGTTTGAGACCACACATGCTGCGATGTCACGGTAAGAGCTAATTAAAATGCGCCCAGTGTCTGTTGTTATGCAGGGATCATATGCTGGAGCACGCGTATTCAGTGAATCTCCCATAATGCCTGCTGTGATGCTTCCCTCTCCTCCAACTACAGACTGGTTTCTAATTGCTTGCCATCTTTTCTTTTAGGCACTGGTGGTGGTCTGTGCGGCTCAGTGGTGCAGCCAAGTGTGGCTGAGCATGACAATCAAATGATCAGAAGAGGCGGTGGGGGGGTCCAAATCACAAATTGTGAGTGCACAGACTCTGCAAGTTTATATTAGAAAACACTGGCCCTCATAAGGATGGATGATCATGTGAAACGCGCCAATGTCAATGCTTTGCTGTTCAAACTACAAAACACAAATAAGAATCTAAACTGCAAAGGAATCACACACTAAACGACATTAAAATGAAATAATAATAATAATGTTGATTAATAATAATTTAATAAATTAATAAACCTTCAATTTAAAATGTTTCCAGAACTACACGTTTGTCTGACTACTGTAAATAATTTCACTCATGTGCATTAGACAGGGTGTAGTTCAAGGGGAAACTGCACCTTATATGGTTAAAAAAAAACAAGTTCAAAAACACCATCTGCTAAACACACCAGCACTGTAGGCTAACTGTCATGGGAGCATCCAAAACAGATCACATAGTCCAATTGGTCTGTATAAAGCGAAATGTCCCAGGGCCCCAGGTCAGCTTATTTGTACTCGCTGACCCATGGCGCTGTGAGTTGAATCTGGCTGGCCAATAATTGAAACAAAAAAAAAGGTGTTTGCAATGTGGTGTTGCTGGCTACTGCAGCCTGGTACTCAAACAAAGTAGTGTGGACATAATGGATGGAGGCCAGGGCAGGGGAGACAGGGGCAGATGGCTTCATCATCAGGGACTCTTTGATGGCCGTTCTTAACATCAAAGACAATGAATAAAGCTGGAACACGGTGACCATGAACAGATAAAGCTATATATTCTCTCCTCCTGCAGAGAACAAGGCAAAGGGTTTATGATTCATTGAGTTTAATGTACAAAGGCTAAATTTCAGTCTTATTTTCAGTATTTAAACACAAAGTCCAGTTTCACCAGTGGATATGCAGATCTGGAGAAGACCCACACAATCTGGGCTCTCACTCCTCAGATAACTTTGGATCTTACCGACTGGGTAAGAAGGAAGAAGAAGAGGCAGTAGATGGCGGTAATGCACTTTGATGTTGCTTTCCAGACCCCCAATAAACTGAACAAAGAAGAAGTCATTTTAAATGTAATTACCCACAAATTTTCTGTCTAATCAATTAATCAACCAATCCATCCAATGCCATCGCCCCTCATCCCCCTACTAATCGCCTATCCCTTAAGACTGCTCAACACACCAAACACCATGGGACATCTTCAAATTGCATTGATGTTAAAATCAAGTTGATAGAAAACAGCAAAATAGCAAATCGTATAATTTGAGTTGTATGCAACTGATGTGTGTGTATTAATACATTTTAGAAGAGTCACCATAAGGTATA